TACCCCCCCCCCCCCCCAACCCCCCCCCCTTCCCCTCAAACCTTTTCCTCCCCCCCCCCCCCCCGTAACGTCCCCATCTCTGGAGTCCCAGACTGAGAAACTGTTCTTGGGCTACGTTGTCTTCTCCCCTAACTCTCCACGCAGCCCACCCCCTTCTCTCCAGACCTGAGGACCTCCACACCCCTCCCCAGAGCTCCTGACACTCCTCTCCACCCATGGCCCCAGCCTCCAAGGGTGTTCGCCCACCCTTCACCCTGCTCAGCCAGATATTAGGTGCATCAAAGCCTCCCACCTGCCCAGCCCCAGGACCCCTTCACACACACCCCACTTAGTTCGGCACCCCCAACCCCTTTCTGCCACCTCAGACTCTGACTTTTCTCCACCTCAGCCTCCATTTCTCTTCTGAAAAATACCTAGTCACCCTCATTTCTCCAGTCACCCCCAAATCCCTCCACTATACCTTTCCTAGACCATCTCTGAAAGCCCCAGCCCACCCATGGCACCTTTAGCCTGCTGCCTGCATCTTCCTGAAGCCAAGCAGCTTCCCCATGCTCTAGGAGCTGACCTTTTCCCAAGAACCCCCACCCCAACTCCATCTGTCTCAACCCTGCTTTCCCCCTCCACAGATTTGCTCTCCCTCCTTGTTCCCAGGCTCCCCCCTCACACACTTGTGGTCTCCCTGCTCTGTTTCTCTAGTTCAACTTTTCTCTTTCCCTGCTCCCATTCCTCCCAAGGAAACATGCCCTAAACTGTCACCGAATGAAGCCTGCTCTCTTTAGTGTCCTGTGTGAAATCAAGGAGAAAACCGGTATGTGGGTCCCTCTCAGATTCCTCAACTTTGGGGACAGAACCCTATTCACTACAAGAATTTAACAGCTTGGGCCCTGAGGAAAGTAGGAAGTTAGGGAGGTTGCTAAGGGACAGGGGAAGGAACCAAAGCCTGGACACTTGGGTCCCCAGGAGACAACAAGAGGACTGAGCACTGGGTGTGGGGTCCCTGGGTTCCCTAAGTCCACTCACCTGCATGCTAGGCCTCAGCATTCGAAGCTCCCAAGAGGAGGAGCCAGTGGACCCACAGCTGATGCGCTTGGACAACATGCTTCTGGCAGAGGGTGTGGCTGGGCCCGAGAAAGGGGGGGGCTCAGCGGCAGCAGCCGCAGCCGCTGCAGCCTCTGGGGGCGGCGTGTCCCCTGACAACTCCATCGAACACTCGGACTATCGCAGCAAACTTGCCCAGATCCGCCATATATATCACTCCGAGCTGGAGAAGTATGAGCAGGTGAGGAGGGGAGGCTGGAGTGGGTGGAGGGAGAGGCTCTTGGGGCAAATCCCAAGGCCAGAGGGCTCCTCTTCACCAGCCCACCGGTCCCCACTACAGGCATGTAATGAGTTCACGACCCATGTCATGAATCTGCTGAGGGAGCAGAGCCGCACGCGCCCCGTGGCACCCAAGGAGATGGAGCGCATGGTGAGCATCATCCACCGGAAGTTCAGCGCCATCCAGATGCAGCTCAAGCAGAGCACCTGCGAGGCTGTCATGATCCTGCGTTCCCGCTTCCTGGATGCCAGGTGGGGCTCAGGGACCAAGGCTGGCCCCCAGCACCAGACGCCTTCCCATTCCTGTCTAAAACCTTGGGCCACCGAGTTGCAGAACACGGTACTCCATGACAATGGTGACCTCTGGAGTTATGCAGCGTGGCAGTCCCCGTCAGGACACCAGCATCCTCACCCACCCTTCTCCCTCCTCTGTAGGCGAAAGAACACGGTACTCCATGACAATGGTGACCTCTGGAGTTATGCAGCATGGCAGTCCCCGTCAGGACACCAGCATCCTCACCCACCCTTCTCCCTCCTCTGTAGGCGAAAACGCCGTAACTTCAGCAAACAAGCCACTGAAGTCTTAAATGAGTATTTCTACTCCCACCTGAGTAACCCATATCCTAGTGAGGAGGCGAAGGAGGAGCTCGCCAAAAAGTGCGGCATCACCGTCTCTCAGGTATTGTGGGGCTTTGGAGAGAAGTTTTCTCAGATCCTATTCAGTGAGCGGCTTCAGAGGGAAAGGTTTCCACCTGACCCTCCTTTCTGCCCAACACCCACAGGTCTCCAACTGGTTTGGCAACAAGCGGATTCGCTATAAGAAAAATATTGGGAAGTTCCAAGAGGAGGCAAACATCTATGCTGTCAAGACTGCCGTGTCAGTCACCCAGGGGGGCCACAGCCGCACCAGCTCCCCGACACCCCCTTCCTCCGCAGGTGGATCCCGCTGCCACCAGGCTGGCTGTTTTGCTCTCTTCCTGCTTTTGTTCCCGCTTCCTATCTAGGCAGGATCATAGCAGAGAAGGGGGCTTTTGGGGTGAGAGGCACCAAGCTGAGATGGGGTGGAGATAGATGTCAGGGGACAGAGGCCACTCCAGTGAAGTTACTTCTGCCTTTCTTCCAGCAGGTGGCCAGGGGAGGCTCAGAACGCCTGTTCTTTCTGGGTGTTGGAATGCTGTTTTGTGGATAATTTGTGTATAGGAGCACATCCCCACAGAGCTAGCAGAGCAGGCTTTTTGGAAAATGAGGGTTGTGGTTCATGTCCTGTCTGCCATTGTGAGCTCTAGTATACTCTTCCCTAACTCCCTCTCTGCTCCCCGAAGGCTCTGGTGGCTCTTTCAATCTCTCAGGATCCGGAGACATGTTTCTTGGGATGCCCGGGCTCAACGGAGATTCCTATTCTGCTTCCCAGGTCAGGTGCCTCATCTTCTCTTGAGCAGGGTGTTCCCAAACTCCTTTTCCTCCCCTTTAGGATATAAGACCTCTTGCTTCTGAGGTTTCTCCTCACTGTGTCATACCTTCCTCTGATGCCTCAGGTGGAATCGCTCCGACATTCAATGGGGCCAGGGGGCTACGGGGATAACCTCGGGGGAGGCCAGATGTACAGCCCTCGGGAAATGAGGGTGAGTGGATCTTGAAGCCCCCTCTCTCCATTCCCCCTAAGACAAGGGCCTAGCAGTGTTGTCCCCACACAGGGCTTCCCAGGGCCCTAATCCTCTCTCCCTTTTTCCAGGCAAATGGTGGCTGGCAGGAGGCTGTGACCCCATCCTCAGTGACATCCCCAACCGAGGGACCAGGGAGTGTTCACTCCGACACCTCCAACTGATCTTGCCCCTCAGGATCACAGGGGTGGACCCCTCACAAGGCGACTCTTGAAGAGGACGCAGGCATCCAGAGGACAAACCCCCAAACACAGAAGAAGCACAAGACAGAAGGGCAAATGGGGTTGTCCCCTCCCCAACTAGACTCTCAGTGCTGGGGGTGCTGACTATATGTCAGGGAGAATGGGACCCCTAAGGGGAAAGTGGGGTCTGTCTCCTCCTTTTTTCCTTTTTTCAGTCTTTTTCCTCTCCCCCTTTCTCTCTTACACAGAAACACATACCCAGAAACCTATTTTTCTGACCCCCTTTTCTCCTCTTCCTCTGTCTCTGTCTCTCTGCTCTTCTCGCTCCCTCTCTCTCTCTCATATACGCTCATATACAACTATTCTGTTTCTCTTTCTGGGCTTCCCCACTTTCCTTTCCCCACCCCACTTTTATGCTCTGGAATCTGTGGAGATGCCAGCCCTGCCTGACCAGAGATGCTCATATACAACTATTCTGTTTCTCTTTCTGGGCTTCCCCACTTTCCCTTCCCCACCCCACTTTTATGCTCTGGAATCTGTGGAGATGCCAGCCCTGCCTGACCAGAGATGCCAAAAATGGGGACACAACTTCTGGACAGAGGACATGGGCCACGCCCCCTGTGCATCCCCACCCCCTGCCCCTCCAGACGGCTTTATTACCTCATACGCAGCTCATCTTAAACCAATAGAATCGCTCGGTGGACGAGAGTGTCTGACTCAGATATCTACCTCGGAGGGAGTTTCTGCTACTTTAGGGAATTGTTGACTGGGCTTTGGGGTTGAACTTTTTTTTTAAGGAAAGGAAAACCCTGGGACCCATCTGTATTTTTTTTTTTTTATTTTTCGATTTTGTCGTTGGTTCTTAATTTTTAATTTGGGGAAGTAGTTTTTTTATATAAATATGTTGGGGGTTTTTTTTCTTGCTTTCCCATATTAGGTGACAGCCAAAGGGGGCCCTGGTGAGAGAAAGGAAATTTTTCGATTTTGTCATTGGTTCTTAATTTTTAATTTGGGGAAGTAGTTTTTTTATATAAATATGTTGGGGTTTTTTTTTCTTGCTTTCCCATATTAGGTGACAGCCAAAGGGGGCCCTGGTGAGAGAAAGGAACAAATAGAACTGGTGAAGATACCCACCTGGCTCCAGGCCTGTCCCTGAGGGCACCAAGCCCTCCCCCTAAAGTCACTTAGGTGTTCTTTGCTTGTGCAGGCAGGTTTCTGCTGCATTTTGTGTGGAGGCATTGAGGGGCTTGCCCTCCCATCCCCCCACTTCCCACAACCCTTGAGCAGGGCTTAACTCAGTAATTTTGAGAAAATTGAAGATGCCACCTTCCCTGTGAGTGATACATCTTTAAATTTTTCTTTGAACTACTTTTTGCAGGTTGGCGGGGAAAGAAAGGGGAGGGGGTTATTGCCAAATATGTTAAATATGGGTTGGGGTGCTTGTATATGTATCTCCCTCAGTTTCCCCAGAAATGAGGTGTCTTTTTTTGTCACACCAAAACCAAGGGGGTAGGGGGAAAGAGGAGGGAGGTTGCAAAAAGCCAGGTATTGGGGGGAACAACACTGTCCCATCCTCTGCCTGAACCCTGCCATCTGATCCCCTCAAACATCCTCAGGATTTTACAAGACTCAGAGTGGGGGACCCCTCCTGTCAAAGATCTGGGCAGGATTGGGGGACAGGATGGGAGTGTGCTGGGTGGGGGGGCGGGAGGCACAGCCCGGGGGCAGTTCTTTCCTCACTTGTAAACTTGTAGTTTCACAGAAAAAAAAAAAAAACTGCAGTTTTAAATAAAGAAATTTCTTTTTTCCCTGGGTTTAGTTGAGAATTTTTTTTCAAAAAACATGAGAAACCCCAGAAAAAAATGCTTCTCTCACAAAGCCCCAAGCATTTCCTTCAGTGTCTCCCAGCCCTGCTGCCATGCCCTCACTACGCAGGCAGGTCCATGGTCCACCCTTGGAAATCACAGCCGGTCTGAACCCTGTTGCCTAGCAACCTTGTCCAGTCAAGATGGGCTCCAGTCGGCCACCAGGCAGCCCTCAGTGGACTGATGGGATGCAGTGGAGGGCTCTGAGGGAATGAGACCCTAGGAGGTGCACTCCCCACACCCAGGGCAGTGGCTGTACCCAGGGGTGGGGTGATAATTGTTTTTCCTAGAACCTGAAGGACTCTTGTCAGAGAGGCATGAATTCCTAGCATTCCCTGTGATGGGGCAGGACGGGGAGAGGGTACAAGCCCCACCTAGGGCGGTGGCCACAGCGAGGAAAGGGGCAGACAGAGCCAGGAGCCTGGGAAGGAAGCAGGATGGCAGCAGGGGCAGCAGCTGGAGCCTGGGTGCTGGTCCTCAGTCTGTGGGGTGAGCCACTCCCCCCACCCCACTCATCCTCCCTGCAGAAAGCACTCCGTCCCCCTCCCCCCGAGTCTCCCTAGAACTTTTCCTAGTACCAGGGTGCTGCTTTTCAAGCTCCTTCACCCACCCTGTCCTAGCACCATTAGCCCCCATCTCCCTTCCTGCCCTCCACCATGGTGCTGTCTCCCAGGGGCAATAGGTGGCGGTCAAAACATCACAGCCCGGATCGGGGAGCCACTGGTGCTGAACTGTAAGGGGGCCCCCAAGAAACCACCCCAGCAGCTGGAATGGAAACTGGTAAGCAGGGCTCCTGTCAGCCGGCCGACTTGGGAGAGCCCAGTGATGATGTGCATCCACGCCACCCTGCCTCAGCAGTCCCTTCTCAAATGACTTCACTGTTTAGGCCCCTCTCCTCTCTCCAGAACACAGGCCGGACAGAAGCTTGGAAGGTCGTGTCTCCCCAGGGAGGCCCCTGGGATAGTGTGGCGCATGTCCTCCCCAACGGTTCCCTCCTTCTTCCAGCCATGGGGATCCAAGATGAGGGGACTTTCCGGTGCCGGGCAACGAACAGGAATGGAAAGGAGACCAAGTCCAACTACCGAGTTCGAGTCTACCGTAAGGGTTCCAGGGACTTCTCCAAGGCCCACCTCTCATCTAAGAGAAAGCCTTCCTTCAACCCCAGCCCTTCCGCTGCCCCCACTCCCACACCTGGAGTTTGAAAACCTTCAAAGCTGCAGCCTCTGATTGGATTTTTCCCTCCTTCAGAGATTCCTGGGAAGCCAGAAATTGTAGATCCTGCCTCTGAACTCATGGCTGGTATCCCCAATAAGGTAGTGGAAGAGAGCGGGAGAAGTAGAAACTAGTCCTGTGAATGGGAGGGGAGCCTAGCTCTGAGTGTGCGTGTATGGCATCTCATTTTCAAAGGATGATGAGGTCACCACTCTTTCCCCAGGTGGGGACATGTGTGTCCGAGGGGGGCTACCCTGCCGGGACTCTTAGCTGGCACTTGGATGGGAAACCCCTGCTACCTGATGGGAAGGGTGAGTCCCAAGTCCCCTCTCCTAGCTGCCTTCTTCCTGATCTCTCTCCGATGCCCACCCTGGGATGTCTTGTCTTGCCCTCCCCACCACCATAGGAGTGTCTGTGAAGGAAGAGACCAGGAGACACCCTGAGACAGGGCTCTTCACCCTCCAGTCAGAGCTGATGGTGAACCCAGCCCGGGGAGGAGCTCCCCACCCCACCTTCTCCTGTAGCTTCAGCCCGGCCCTTCCGCGGCGCCGGGCCTTGCACACAGCCCCCATCCAGCCCAGTGTCTGGGGTGAGCACAAAGTTGGGGAGGGCCCCAAGCTCAGGTGAGCACATTCTGGAAGTATGGCCCTCAGGGAGAGAGGGGTCAAGCCCATGGCCACTGGGACCACTCACAGGTGTAACTCTCAACCTCATGCCCCTTCCTACCCCCAGAGCCTGTGCCTCTGGAGGTCCAATTGGTGGTGGAGCCAAAAGGTGGAGCAGTAGCTCCCGGTGGAACCGTGACCCTGACCTGTGAAGCTCCTGCCCAGCCCTCTGCTCAAATCCACTGGATGAAGGATGTGAGTGACCTGGAGAGAGGGGCTGGGAGGTAGAGAGAACCGCACTGGCAATTAGAAGGAAGGCCAAGGGCTCATGGAGGGAGAGGCGGCCAAGGAGGAAGATAGGGTATCTGAGGGTGTGGAGACAGAAAGACAGGAATATGAGATGTGTGGACAGGGGTTTTGTAATAGTCTCCTGTCCTCCTTCCCCTACCAGGGCATTGCCCTGCCCCTTGCCCCCAGCTCCGTGCTGCTCCTCCCTGAGGTAGGGCCTCAGGACCAGGGAACCTACAGTTGTGTGGCCACCCATCCCAGCCATGGGCCCCAGGAAAGCCCTGCTGTCAGCATCAGCATCCTCGGTGAGAATTCTCCCCAAATCCCAAGGAGCCTGGGGCTGGGGTGAGGGACAGTGCAGGCTCCAACTCCCTACCTCACTCTGGCATTATCCCCAAGAGCCACCCCACTCCTCCCTCAGTGCACCCACACCCAGCCCTCCTCTGCCCTACCCAAATCCTGCCAAGAAAGCAGCCCAGCCTCTCCCCTCTGGACTGAAAAAAAGGAAAGACTCCGCTGGGGCTCCACCTTCTCCCAAACTGAAGTCTTCCCTTCTGACTTGCTCCAACTTTGTCTTCCAGAAACAGGAGAGGAGGGACCAACTGCAGGTGAGGGATTGGACAAAGTCAGATAGAAGCAGACAGTCCCCAACACATGTGACAGGGGAGATGGTCAACAATAAAGAAATGGTGAGCAGTGGGAACAGTGCCCTCAGTATTCCCCTTCTCCCTGCAGGCTCTGTGGGAGGGTCAGGGCTGGGAACTCTGGCCCTGGCCCTGGGGATCCTGGGAGGCCTGGGGACAGCCGCCCTGCTCATTGGGGCCATCATATGGCGAAGGCAGCAACGCCAAAGAGAGGAGAGGTGAGTGGAGAAAGCTAGATACCTCAGATTTGGGGCTTCCAGGCAGTTAAGTGATGGGGGGGGTGCAACGATGGAGTGCCAGGCATGTGCAGAATTCTCCCCAATCCTCCTCCTCAGGAAGGCCCCAGAAAACCAGGAGGAGGAGGAGGAGCACACAGAGCTGAATCAGGAGGAGGAGCCCGAGGCAGCCAAGAGTGGTGCAGGACGGGCCTGAGGGGCCCACAGACAGACCCAATCGTCCATCAGCTTCCTTTTCTTTTTCCTTTGAACTGTTCTGGACCAAGACCAGCTCTCCTCTGAACAATCTCCACCCCACTTCACCAAACCTTCTTCCATAACCAGAGCCCCCCACAAACAGAATGAGTAAACACTTGACAAATCTCACCCATATGCATTCGTGTGTGTGTGTGAGACCACCTCACCCCTGCACCCTCAGGAGCCCTGAGGAGAGGGGCTCACCCCCACGCTTTCCCACACCACACCAAACATCTACTCAAGTTGGGAAGGATATGCTCCTGTCCCGGAAGGAAGGAGGGAAGAAAGAACCTGGGAAGAGTTCCCATCAACACATTTCACCTTTTTTATTGAATTTGAAATAAAGGAGGTAGTGGGCGGGGGGGCGGGGAATGAGGTAAGCACTTAGAGTCAGATCCCATATTAGACACTTAGGCACTGGGAAGAGAACAATTAAATTAATCAACAAGAGGGAATGGAAGGAAGGAGGGAAGAAAGAACCTGGGAAGAGTTCCCATCAACACATTTCACCTTTTTTATTGAATTTGAAATAAAGGAGGTAGTGGGGGTGGGGTGGGGAATGAGGTAAGCACTTAGAGTCAGATCCCATATTAGACACTTAGGCACTGGGAAGAGAACAATTAAATTAATCAACAAGAGGGAAAGTGGGGGAGAGTCAGAGAAAGACTTGCCCACCTTTCAACATCAAATCAAGAAATCTGGGGGAAAGCAAAGGATTAGAAGAGAGGAGAAACAGACAATCTCTTCAGTCTGTCCTCCTCCCCTAGGGCTGGGAGTTACTGTGCTACTGAGCAGGTAGTTCAGAGCAGAAGCCTCTCCCATTTTATGCACAGATGTCACTCCTCCTCCCCACACCCTCCTGGAGAGTGGCCAAGGTTAGCCTTATCCAACAGAAATGGTGGGGTCAGGGGGATCCAGGAGTAAGGAAGGGTCAGCAGGGACCCCCAATACTGATTCTCCTCTAGCTGGAGGTGGGCAGGAGGGAGACACAGCTCAAATACTGAGCAGCCAGAAAAAGAAGAAGATGGCGAGAAAAAGGAAGAGGGAATCCTGCCAGCTGAAGGCCGGGTGACCCTGTCCCAGATCCACACCTGTGGGAGAGAGGAAAGCTGCAGAAGCATATACTCCTAGGCCAGGAGGGGGCCCAAGATATTGAGAAGGATCCCTGCTAGGAGCCGAGTGTGACTCTTACCTGTACCCCGGCGGAAAGGCTCATGGGTATTGAAGACCGTGGTGAAAAAGCCAAAGGGAAAAGCACCAACACCAAATGAGAAGTGAAAGCCACCAGTATCACCAAACGGCTGGAATCCCTAGGGAGGCAGAAAAAGTCAGAGGGGAATCAGGCAAATCTTTGGCAAGGAAAAGACAGAATTGTACAAGAAGACTCACCCCTCGGCTCTCTGGAGCTGGTCGCTGGCCCTGGGGGCGGGGTGGAGTTTTCAATCTGAGGAATAGGAGAGAAAACATCAAACAGGGAATTTTCTCCTCTCCTCCTCCACACCCTCTTCCCAGGGCACTAGCCTTCAACCTTCCCTCCACACCACCTCCAGTCTCTCACCTGGGATCCTGGGGCTTCTGGCTCCCTCGTCCATAAAGTGGGACAACATTCTCTCTGCTGATCCCAGCTTTACACACTGGGCACTCTTGCCGCTCCGGCCGTGTCTCCAGCCACTGGGGAGAAAAAAATGAAGTGGTTTCCAGTACCCAGGAGGGTCTTCCAGCTCCTTAGACCTCCCCATTTCCCTCTTCTCCTCTGAGTACGCACCTGATGAAGACAGGGCCAACTGGATGGGGGGTGGGGGGGAAGAAAAAAGGTCAAACTAGCTACAGAAAAGAGACACATAAACCCCAGACATCACAGATCCCATCTCACCCCTCTTCCCAGGTATTACCTGCTGGGTTTTTTTATATTTTCCACAACGTCTACCATACCAGCCAACTTGGCCTTCCTGCTTATCTGATCTTCTAACGCCTAAAGCTCCATCCATCCTCCACATGCTCAACCCTCTCCTCTCTCCTGTCCCACCACACACACACACACACACACACACACTCTCTCTCTCTCATCCCCTCCCTTCTCTGCCTTTCAACTTGTTGCCAATTCTCTTCAACCCACCCCTTTCCAGGACTCCTCTTTAAGCCCCCACCCCATTTGCCCCCATCACTCCAAACCAACCCCCCTTCACTAAAACATTCCCCCATTACTCCTTTTCCTCTCAATTCCAGGCTCAATAAAGTCCCTATCTCCATGACCTTTTAATCTCTCAAGTTTGCCCCTCAACAGTGCCCCATCCCCAGGTTTGTCATATCACCCCCTTCCCAGATCTCACATGAATGGGATCCCATATTCCTGGGTCTCTCTCATTTAACTGATGCGTGTCTGCCCTAACCTTTGAGTCTCATCCGTTTCCATCTGTACAGCTTTAGAACCCTCATTTCCCTGGGGTCAGGTGGCTCGGGTCCCAGCTGTACAGATGTGTGGTGTTCCCCCACTCCCTGCCCAACCTCCTCGGGCCTCACCAGTGGGGATGTGCCCTCCAATTATCTGTGTGATTGTATAGTTCCCCGCTCCCAGCGTCCACAGTATAGAGGTGAGCCCCACCGCCTTCCGCCCCTCTCCCCGAATCTCACCAATACAGGTGGCCACACACACTGACCACAGCTTCCCGAGCAGTCTCCAAACATATATTACATTCGAAGGTCGCGCCCGCCCCGCTACGCTCGCGGTTTGGCCCTTCGGGGCCCCCGTCCTCCTCCTCGGCTGCTGCCATGGCCGGTTCTATTTCGCCCCCGCGCACCCCTCAGTCTCCCCAAACACACACATACACACGCCCCAGCAAACAAGAAACCGCCTCCTGCTCACAATCGTTGGGCAGGCTTCAAGGTTCTCTAATCACTATTGGTCTGATGGCTTGCCAATTATACAGGTTTCGAAAGAAAGGATTGGTCCAAAGGGTGGGAGCGGCAAAAGGCTTGTGCAGTCCTGCCCTTGCACCATAACTATTGGCTGAGACCGTCGCAGGCAGTATGCAAAATCAAGGGATTGGTAACAACTCGCTATACCAGGCCCTGCTTTCCGGCCAGGGAGGGCTTTATTCGTCTGAGTAGCTGCCAGTCATAACCAAATGCCAAAAGCAATTGGTTCGAGACTACATAGACCTCACCCACTATAAACCCCTGTCTTTCCTTCAATCCCTCTTCCAGAGAATGTCCAAATTCCTGTTGGACTTTGGAGCTTATGACTCCAAAGCAAGTGATTGGCTAGAACTCGACAGAAAATGGCGGTTAGGTAAAATGCGCCTGCGCGGCGCGAGGCGGGATGGGGTGGACCAATCCTATGAAGGTTGAGCTTTCTCCGGCCTCATCCTTTCGCCGCTGTCTTGTCGCCATGGTGACTGCTCTACAATTGGAGAAGCTTGCAGTTCAAAGGTCTCGGCTCGGCTTCATCCGGGTCCTTTGGCTGTGGAATCTCTCGGCTGATTGGCCCGTTTTTTTGGCCCCCGATTGGGTGAGATCGGAAAAGAACGAAAAGAGCTAGTAAAAGGGGGCGAATACTAGGGTCTCAGGGTTCAAAATGGTTCCGGCCTCCTTGGGTGACGTAGAGAGCAGAACTTGGGTCTGCCTGGCCCTCTTAGAGAAGAGAGCAGAACTGGGATTAGCCCGACGTTTGGATGGTGCGAACATCTGTCTGCGACGCTGGTGTTAACCCAACTCCTTCGGCTGGACGACTCAGCCTGCCCCTTTAGGTGATTTACAAAGAACTGAGCTAAACACCCACTCTCTTTTTAAGGTGACACTCAGAGTAGAACAGAGGGCCTCGACTCTATTTTTAAACTTAAAGAGCTGAAAAGGTCTGGCTCCACTCCTTTGTGAGTGGGTGTAGAAGGGGCGAGGCCCACTCTAGGCAGAATGGAATTAGGCCCGCCCTTTCTTGTAATTTTCCCAGCAGAACTGGGGTCTTCTTCCTGGGCTGGACCCCTGAGAGCTTGGGCGTTTTCTACTGTCAGTGCCCCTCACTGTGGCCCAAGGAGCAGAACTAGGTAACAGTCCTCCCACTACCAGTGTTCTTTACATCCTCTTCCCCCAGGTCGTGTAAATTTGCTCATGCAGAGCAAAGGTGTGGGGGGGTTGGAGGCAGACACAGGCTGAGGATTTAACTATTAAGCAACACCTTGATAAAAGGCCCCATGTGTCTTAAGAGTAAGGAAAGATGAGAATTTGAAAGTTGCGTAGCGGACAGGGCAGGTGAGGGTTCAGGAGGCTTGAAGAGGTTTAGGAAAGAAGTTATTGAGAGGGGGAGGCGGAGACCAAGGAGGGAGGAGTGATGGCATAATCCTGGTGAAAGGATAACGGGAGTTATGGGGAAGAGGGAAGCAGGGGCTGGAGAGCTAGATACATGGCTACAAAATTAAGTAGGCATGCTCAATTCTAGAGGAATCAGCACTTTCTTCACTTTTTTTTTTTTTCTAGGAAGCAACCCTAACGCCCAATTTCAATTGGAAAAAAGATCCACCCAGATTCTGTGTTGGGGGGAAGGGTTGTCTCAGCTTGAGTAAGGATACTGATAGGAAGGAAGGGGATAGGAAGGAAAATGTACTTAGGCAAAAGCGTGGAAGGGAAAGGAACCAGGAGAAAGGCCAGAGAGCGTGGGTGGAGGAGGGAGCTGAACTGCTGGGAAGCAGTAGACGGACAAAGGACAGAGTCCAGACCAGAGGGCTGCAGGATAGGCAGAGTTCATCTAGGAGCCCTAGAGAGAAAAAAAAGAGATGAACTCAGCTTGGCACATGGTAGATGCTTGATAAATGTTTAGAGTTGAATGGAGGACAGGAAAAGAGGTCTGAGAAGAGTTGGGAGGAGTAAGCAGCAGATACTGGGGTTAAGCAGAAAGGAAGAAACCAGAAAAAGACCAAGTAAAAGTGGCAGTAAGAGGAGAACCGATGGAGAAAGGGGAAGCACTATGCCGAAGGAAGAATGCACCACCAAGGGATCCAGAGCTATGCTGCGTGCGCTGAAGGGGGTTGAAGGAAAAAAGAGATGCAGCTGGAGGCCGAGAGGGGCGGAGACAGAGGCAGAGCCCCCTGAGCTCTCCTGGGGCGGGGCTAGCAAGAGGACACTGGTAGATGTGGGGAGGAGATGCCAGGGTTTCTGGGAGGCGATTGGCAAAGCAGGCCGCCCGTCACCGCCCCCCACTTCCTGGCCGGCCCCGGAAACCAGCAGGCAGTGGAGAGCGGGGCCGGGGGGGAGATAGCGGCCCCAGCAGCCCCAGCCCTCAGACAGACAGCGGGGAGGGAGGGAGGGTGCTGGGGGGACAACCCCCCACCATTCCTACCGCTATGGGCCCAACCTCCCACTCCCACCTTCCTTCCATCGGCCGAGGCTAGGACACCCCCAAGTCCCGTCGCCCCCCTGGCACCGACATCCCGACAGAGACAGAGACACAGCCAGCCGCCACCACCGCTGCCGCAGCCTGGCTGGGGAGGGGGCCAGCCCCCCAGGCCCCCCACCCCACTGAGGTGTGGGCGGGAAAGGGATGGGAGGAGGTGGGAGGAGGGTGCAGAAAGGGACGTGGATGAGGGGATGGGGAGAGATTGGGTCTGGGAGGGCCGACTGGGGAGGGGGTTACTGGGAAAAAGATAAGGGCCGACTGGGGAGAGGGTTGCTGGGGAAAGGAGAGGGGGGCTGAGAGGGAGTTAGGATGGAAGAGGCATGGGAAGGAAGAGAGATGGAAGTCCCGAGATTTTGGAACTGGGGGCGTGGACAGGGAATCCTGGAAAAGGAATTTCCTATACCTTCCCCAATTCCTTTTCCTGTCCTTTGACCCCACATGACTCTTGAGGGGTCCTGAGGGGAGAAGGCCAGCAGAATTTGCATCCTGGGAATGTCCTCTGTCACCTTTTTCCATCTAGCACAGGACCTCTTATTTCTCAGTGGCCTTCCACACTGCTAGACCCTTACTGACACACAGATGCCTTGTGGGAAGCCATGTTTTCTACGTGGAGTCTGTGTGCCTTTGACATGTTTAATGGCTTGTGTGCAGTTGGGTTGTCTCTATGCTGTCCATAGCAGTGGAGAAATGATATGTTATTTTCCATCAGGATTGTCCATTCTCAATCTGTGTGCCTTTGACATGTTTAATGGCTTGTGTGCAGTTGGGTTGTCCCTATGCTGTCCATAGCAGTGGAGAAATGATATGTTATTTTCCATCAGGATTGTCCATTCTCATATCTTCTGTCCATGTTTCACATCCAGTATCCTGTCTCACGTCCAGTTTTGACATGTTCAAGTACTGCATATGTGTGAGTTTTCATTTATTGCACCTGTTATGTGGTTTCATGTTACTTGCACGTTTATGTTTTTGCATGTTTACTTTGGCATATAAAGATTATATGCTTTATTTTGTTTGGCTCACTTGTTTTGTCCATGGTCTCGCCGTATGCAGTATGTCTTTATGTGTGGGATCCCATGGCTTGGCTGAATAGCACACACTCTCGTATTGTGATTGGATTGGCCTGTTTGTGTTTTCCCAGTCATGGTTCACACTGCCCATGTGCTTGCCTCTTCCCATGATACACTGATGTGACATCTCCATAGTATGTGTGCTCCTGGTTACACATACTATTTATTTCATAAATTTATTTTCAGTACATTTTGTGAGATGTATACTCATTAATCTATTTGGCACTCCATTTTGTTTATAAATCCTTGAGCATTTCTGCTCCAGAGAGGGTCACTCTTAATATCAAGTATTAGAGAAGGTAACTGGGTTCCAAGTCCCCAAAGAACCGTCCCTCATACCTTACCTTGCTGACCTCCCTGGCCTGTGTTTCTTCACACACATTATCTGTCCAGTGGCTGTGTACAGTCTGTGTCCTTGAACTCAGTGCATGGGTCAGCAGTGAACACGGTCAGCCCTGCTGTGAACTCCCATCAGCTCTGTTTATGGACATTATCTATCCCCACTTTTTGCATTGTGGGCACATATTTGATGACAGCAGCATCTTTTCCCTGTGACATGTTGATCCCATTCTGTATGTTTCTCTGGTGTCTGAGATGACATCTTCATGATTGTTGTCACTCTGCCTTCATTATGGCTGTGTATTGTTTGTATATATTCAGAGTAGGTTACTGTTAGGCGTGGTGTATTCATTACATTCTCAGTGACTATTTTTTTAGTAGTTAATATTCCTCGAGAGGGTAGCTGATTCATGATCAGAACAGCCATCTCTTTCCTTAACTGTGGCCGTGTGAGTGTGTACACAGCCTTATAATTTGTTCAGTAAATGTTTATTGTGTGACTATTTCACCTCCTACTGTCCCGGCATTGGGTACAAGACAGTGTCCCTGTCCTCAATCTGCTTACAGCCTAGGGAGGGAAACTGAAATGCCAGTGAGCAGTTACACATAGTGTGGTGTTAAGATCAGTGGTTCTCAAACCCAAGTGCACATCAGACTCACCTGGAGGGCTTGTTAAATTACACATCACTGGGCCCAGTGCCCAGAATTTCAGATTCAGTAGATTTGGTGTTAGGTCCAAGAATTTGCATTTCAACACTTGGAGAACCACTGATCAAGATGAAAATATAATGGAAATACAGACCTGGAGGGGCTCAGGAAGACCTCGGAAGGTGACACTGAGCTGTGTGAGGGAGGAGAAGAGGCAGAAGGGCATTGCAGCCAAAGGGAACAGCGTGTTCAAGGTGCAGAAGCATGAAAGATCATAGTGTCTCTGAGGAACTGAAGTAAACCAGTTTGACTGGAGGCTTTTGTGGGAATGTTGATGAAGATGTAAGAAGTCAACTTGTGAGGAAAGGCCTTGAGGCAAGACAGGGAGATGCTCAAGTTTGCGTTACAGAAAAATCTCTGTGGCATCCCTTATCAAAAAAAAAAAAAAAAAATCTCTGGTTGCAATGTGGAAGGTTGGAGGGAAAGAGTTAGGAGCCTACTGCAAATAGTCCAGGGAGAAGCGATGCTGGTCTGAACTTTCAGGGGCAGTAGGATGGAGCAGCTCAGAAAGCCTACTGTTTTCAAGCTGGCAGTGTCTCCTGTTTCCTCCATTGCCTGTTACCTTCACACTTGGCAATGGGCTTACCTTTGAGCACAGCCTTTCCTGTCATGGGAAGGAAGTGCCCGTGGCCTCCATGGGAGTGACAGGTATTTGCCTGAACACCCTTCTTGTGAATTGTGACCCTGCCCCCAGCAGGGGACAGAATGGAGGAAGGAGGAAGAACCTAGAAGACAGGTTCTATGTGCCTGCACCTCTTCCTCTTGAGCCCTTTCCTCTCCCAGGGAAGGTGGTGTGATGTCCCTTACACTTTCTGCCCTCCTATTTTCATTTGGTGAGGCCTTACGCACAGTACCTGCCTGTCCAAATTGCCTCCTGTGTCACTAGAAGAAAGGGAAGGGGATAGTGGGATTTTGTTTGTCTGTTTATGGAGGCAGGATTGGTGTATGTATCTACTCTGCATATGTCCATGGGTTTATCTGAGAATGGGGAAGTTCGCCTGCGTGGAGAGGGATTTTTCTAGGTTATGCATTTACATTCCTTTATCTGTCACTGGGTGTGATAGTATATTTGTGTGTGTGTGTGTGTGTGTGTGTGTCATTCTTTGTGTGGCTGTGTGTGTCTGCATTAGTGACATGAGCCTTTATTCTTGTCATTCAGCCATTGGGTGTATGTCTGTGGGTGTTTTGTCATTACACTATTGTCTGCTGGGTACGTGTATGTATATATACATACACGTGCCAGCGTAACTGAGTACTTAGGAACACAGGCTGCTTAGGTTTAATCTAGAAACTACTGCTTAGGAGCTGTATGACCTCAGGTAAGTTATTTAACTTCTCTATACCTATTTTCTATAAAATGTAAATAATAATAGTACGTTATAGATTATTGTGTGGCTCATGTTTAAGGGCTTAACATAGTGTATAGACCAGTGCTGTCCGACAGAAATATAATGTAAGCCACATATGTAATTTTTAGTTATCTGGTAGCCACATTAAAAAAGCTAAAAAGAAAGAATGAAATTAATTTTAATAATAATACTTTACTGAACCCAATATATCCCAAAGATTATAATTTCACATGTAATCAGTATAAAAGATTAATGGGATATTTTACATTCTGTTTTTCAAAGTCTTTTAAATATGATGTGTATTTTATATTTCCAGTACATCTCAATTCAGACTAGCCACGTTTCAAGTGCTCAGTAGCCACATGTGGCTGGTGGCTACTGTATTACACAGCGCAGGTAGAGACCATAAGACCTTTACTATCATTAGTATTGTTATTTTATTATCATGTATCTGTGTGTTGTGGTTATCCATGTCTCATGTCTGTTGTCTGTCTGAATATACCTGAGCCTTCAGGGAGAGGGGTGGGAGAGCTCCCTAACCCCACCACCCCCATCCTAGAGAGTATTCTTGGGAAGGTTTGAACAGGAGCCCTGCCCCCACCCTGTATCTTTGGCCCTTGTCCTCATAACACCTGCAGCAGCCTGGCCTTCTGTGTCTTGCCCACCCTGCTCCCCTCTGGGAACCAGGCTGACTCTCCCTTGCCCCATTCCCTGCAGGTGACCAGAATGGAGCTGTGGCCCGGGGCATGGACGGTGCTGCTGCTGCTCTTACTGTTGCTGCTCTTCCTGCTGCCCACACTGTGGTTCTGCAGCCCCAGTGCCAAGTACTTCTTCAAGATGGCCTTCTACAATGGCTGGATCCTCTTCCTGGCTGTACTCGCCATTCCTGTGTGTGCTGTGCGAGGACGCAACGTTGAGAACATGAAGTGAGGGGCAGGGGTGGTGGGTGATGAGGGAACCTAAGGGTGAGAAGTGAGTAGTGGATGTGGGGGGATGGGGTACAATGTGTGTAGAAGGGACTGAGAGCCCAGAGACAGGGAAGAGGGAGGGGACTGCAAAGTTAGCCAGAAAGACCAAAGGGTGGGGGTAGCTAAGGCATGCAGGAGGACATCAGTGGATCCCATTGGACCCCTTGCCATGACCCCACAGGATCTTGCGTCTAATGCTGCTCCACATCAAATACCTGTACGGAATCCGAGTGGAGGTGCGAGGGGCTCACCACTTCCCTCCCTCACAGCCCTATGTCGTTGTCTCCAACCACCAGAGCTCCCTTGACCTGCTTGGTGAGGCCCCATTACAAGACACATCTCCCTGAACCATGCCTTCTCTCCTAGAGCCTTTCCCAGAATCTCCTCCCCTAGAGATCCTCAACTCCCCCTCCTCTGGGATGTTACTCTTCACCGTCCCTCCTCAGACCTTCTTTCCCTACAGTAGGGCTGCCCTCATAAGCACGGTACATATACCTTTAGTCACCCTTTCCTTCACTCGGGGCTCCCCCTTCCCAGTCCCCTCCTTTATCTCCAGTTCCTACTAGTGTGGGTGATGGCCTGGGGGCCGGCCCGTGGCTCACTCGGGAGAGTGTGGTGCTGATAAGCACGGTACATATACCTTTAGTCACCCTTTCCTTCACTCGTGGCTCCCCCTTCCCAGTCCCCTCCTTTATCTCCAGTTCCTACTAGTGTGGGTGATGGCCTGGGTGAGGTGGGCTGCCTGCTGTGACACACTGCTTCCACCCCGATCTTCACTCCACCCCCGCCTCTGCCCAAGGGATGATGGAAGTACTGCCAGGCCGCTGTGTGCCCATTGCCAAGCGTGAGCTACTGTGGGCTGGCTCTGCTGGGCTCGCCTGCTGGCTAGCAGGAGTCATCTTCATCGACCGGAAGCGCACAGGGGATGCCATCAGTGTCATGTCTGAGGTTGCCCAGACCCTGCTCACCCAGGACGTGAGTCATCCTGGAGAAATGGGGGCTTAGAGGGCAGGGGAGTAGGATAGTTGTAAATAAAACTGATATGTAGGGCCAGTGGGCCTTAGAGGTCCCATTACTGCATTGCACCCACTCTGACTCCTCCATATGTGTTTATCTTCCTTGACTCTTTCTCTCCCAGGTGAGGGTCTGGGTTTTTCCTGAAGGAACAAGAAACCACAATGGCTCCATGCTGCCCTTCAAACGTGGAGCCTTCCATCTTGCAGTGCAGGCCCAGGTGATTACTGCTTCCTTTCTGCTGCTCAGTCCCTGCCTGCCACCATTCCTTCCTCTCTGGGCAGAGGCTTGTTGTGGGGGGTCTCAGAAGGGAGCTGTGGACTGATCCATTTTACCCCTTCCCCAGGTTCCCATTGTCCCCATAGTCATGTCCTCCTATCAAGACTTCTACTGCAAGAAGGAGCGCCGCTTCACCTCGGGTGAGGGCTCTGAGCAGGTCTGGGGTAGGGTGTGGCCAGAAAGGCCACTGATAGTTGGAATACTCCCGAGCTCATCCTGGGGACTTTCCACAGCACCTCCACCCTCCCTTGCAGTGGAGCCTCCTGTCAGTGGGGGCTAGACTCTTCTAATTCAGAGGTCTCATTCCTGCACTTGCCAGATGCCCAGGGTCACACGTACTCCTGGAAGCCAGTTTGGTCTCCACATTTCTGCTTCCCCGTCCCTATGGTACAGTTCTTCAGTGGTCCTGGCCCCACCCAGCCCCCTGCAGCCCCGCTGTACCATTCTAACCAGATGCAAGGGGAAGAGGCAGACCTCAGGTGCTGCACTCACTTCCCCCTGGGGAGTTGGGGAAAGGAACTGAATCCTGGCTGGAGGGGATAGGAGGGCTTTTAATTTATTTCTCATTTGAGGCTTCCCCCTCTCTGAGCCAGTTTTCATTTCCTCCTGGTGGCATTAAATGCTCCCTGCCTCCCACTCCAGACCTGTTCCCACAATTGGAGAGGTAGGCTGGGAACAAAAGAAGAGGGTGGGACCCAGTTTTGTGTGGTTGGTTGGTTTTTATTAATTATCTGGATAACAGCAAGAAACCGAGAATAAAGAGAGAGAGAGAGAGAGATCTGGGTGCTTGCTGGTTGCATTTTTTAAGGAGTTGAAGAAGGAATTCTAGCCCAGGCAACCTACCCCCAGCCAGATGACTCAGGGGTGGGCCAAGCCGCTTTCCTCCTTCTGGGTGCTTGCTGGTTGCATTTTTTAAGGAGTTGAAGAAGGAATCCTAGCCCAGGCAACCTACCCCCAGCCAGATGACTCAGGGGTGGGCCAAGCCGCTTTCCTCCTTTCTTCAGCTCTCTGAAGTGTCCATTGCTCATTGCTCCCTGGTGGCTGATAGCCTTATCTGCAACTTCCAGTCAGCCAATCCCAGAGGATTAGTGGGTCCAGTTTCTGTATAAATTAGGGGGCAGGGGCTCTGCGTTTGCTCCTTATCGATGATTGAGACCAGGGCCCAGGCTGTTGTCCTCACAGGAACCTGGTTAATTACAAGGAAATAGGCAGACACAGTGGCTGTGGTCTGTAGGGGCTACCTCCAGCCTGGCGTGGGCAGTACTGCCACTCTCACCCAACAATAAGTGGAATTCCTGGGCAGGGGACAGGATCCCGGAAGAGAATGGTGGGGAAAGTTGTTGGGGGCATAGGGGTCGTGGTGAAGAGGAGCATGAAGACTCACAGGCACCCAGCCTCTCCTCCAGCAGCAGCACCTGGTCGCTGAGAGAGTCGATCCGGTCGCCCCGGCCCCACAGTTCGGCCACCTGTTCTGGCTGCAGCTCTTCGGGTGGCATGGGAAGCACAGCTCGGACCCAGGCCCCGGCCTGACCAGCCCACTGCAAAGGCACAACCGCCTCAGGGTATTGGAGATATAGGCCGGCTTGGTCCCAGGAGCCTCCCCTCACCTGTTCCAGCCGCTCCAGGCGCCCTCGCAACTCGCGAATCTCCCGCCTCAGTGCGCGCTCATCTTGTTCCGCCTCCCGAACTAGGACAAAGGAGAACGGGAGTGTGACCACAGCCGGCCCCTGCCGCGGCCCCGGATCCTTCCCGTGTTCCCGTCCTCCCGCTCACTCACCGGCCACACTGAGGATGCTGGCACTAGTTGGGCGTTCCGGGGACCCCTCCGCACAGGTGTGCCCGTCTGGGCCCAGCAGCAGGCCGTGGGGGCAGCCGCATGTGAAGCTCCCCGCCGTGTTGAGACAATGGTGCGAGCAGAGGGTGACGCCGGTCCTGCATTCATCCACGTCTAATTACCAGGAAAAAGGGGGCTGAGAGCGGGGCGGGGCAGGCGCCCGGCTGGCTAGGGAGGCCCAGGCGCCACCGCTGGGCAGAGGGCAAGCCGACTCACCCACGTGACAGTGCTTCCCTCCCCAGCCCGGGGCGCACTCGCACTGGCCCGGCCGAACGCAGACGCCTCCGTTCAGGCAAGGCTTGGCGCAGATGGCTGGGGGCGGAGGAAGGGGGGCTCAGACCCGAACGGCCTGGCTTCCCAGCTCCGCCGGGAACACCTCCCCCAGGGTCTGGAAGACCCAGCCTCACCTTCTTCGCAGGTGAGCGCCCCCGGGTGCCGCTTCTTCCAGCCCTGGCAGCACACGGCGTGAGTCTGCTGCACCTCCCGCCTCACCTCTCGCCACGCCACGCGGTACGTGGTCCTGGAACACAGCGCCCGGCTCTGAACCCAGCATACGGGTCCTGGTCGGGGTTCTTGGGAGTCCCAGCTCGCCACCCTCACCTGTAGGTGCTGCAAATGCGCCTTCCAGCGCACAGGGTCAGGTAGGGCTTGTACACCGGTTGGCTGTAGGACTCGTTGTAGCGGAGCGGGACCACCAGTGTCTGCTTAGAGCAGACCCCTTGACTGCATTCATGCCAGAGGAGGAGGTGGGAGACATTGAGTGAGCCAGGCTTTGGGGAGCCAGGAGTCCCATTTCCCTCAAGGGGCCACTGAGTCCCCACTGGAGGCAACAACTTCTCGCCCCCATTCTAAACTTTCCACTTTTGTGTCACCTCTTGTGTAGCCCCAACCCCAGCAGAAGGCTCCTGTGAAGACCTCACCCCGCATCCCACCCCTTCTGTTGTCACCTCTCTTTGAGGGATTCATCCTTGGCCCCCTCGCCTGACATCAGTAGCAGGAGGAACAACAGTCCGCCTAAGAGAGTGCACAGCTCAGCCCCAGACCCCATGATTCTTTTTGACTCCAGGCTCCGTGGGCTGCAGGCAAGAAGAGGTTAAATGGATGCCCTTCCCATCTCCTATTAACTTCTCCAGACCCAGCCCCTCCAAGAGCAGTCTGCTGGTGCCCTCTAAGGGGAGTCAGGACACTCACTTTTACATACTAGCCACCAGGATTGTCTACACCTGCACGTACATTTAACTAATACCATCCTGTCTTTAGCATGTCATGATCCACTCAGCATTCATACAGGCTCACACCTCAACACACTCCCACCAACGCCCCTCTAATCTTTCCCTTTCCATTCCTAGTTCTCTCTGCACAACCTGGAGGTACACACGCATAGTTAACCCTCCCCTCATGACCCTCCTATCTCTAACATCCCCTTATAACTTAATCTTCATACCTCCAAAACCACAGATATACACCCTCACACCTTGCACCTGGAAATGCCCTACCCTAAACACATTCTTGCTCCTCTCACACATCCACACCATCACATACACCCCAGACACACACCCCTCACTCACAATGCTCTCCAACCCACACCCACCCTAGGCTCTGAGTGACTCCCATTCTTCCCCACTGACATTCTCTTGCCACTTGCCTTCCCCTCCCCCAATTACCACCTGGCTTCCCGTCCCCCTGGGAGACTTCAGACAGATCAGCCTCAGCAGCAGCAGCTCAGACTGGTGGGTGGGCCAGGGTTGGCTGGAAAGGAGAGCAAGGGCTGGGCCAGACAGGGTCCTCCCATTCCTGCCCCCTCCCACAAGCCTTAGCTCCAGCCTGGTCAGTTCAGTGGGGTCAAATCCCACTCCCCTCACCCCGACCCCAGCAAAGGGCCTCCTATAAGTATTTTCCCATCCCTCTGAGGCCCCCCATTTCCAAATCAGCAGCACCTAATGGGTCTGTAACACGACCACTACCCCAGCCCTCCCCCATCCACCACCTTCAACTCAACAGAGACTGGGGGAGAGTTAGGGGGCAGGGGGAGAGACAGAGCTGGCAAGAAACAAATAGGGTAAGGTCATGGGAGAAAAGACAAGATTACTGAAGAAAGAAGGGCAAGTCCTCACAAAGGAGCAGAGGGCAGCTGGGAGCACCAAGGGGAAAATTGCCCCCATCTCTTAATGACGTTTGTTAGGGCTTGGGAGGGGAAGAGAGTTGACTCAGACACCGCCCCCCATGCCAGAGCAGACAGGGCCCTATTGTCTCAGCCAAAATTCCTTCTTTCAAGGAAGAGGAGGCTCATTGTCCACCCCTCACCCAACTCTGGCCTACAAAGATAGAAAAGGGGCGCGATAAATGCCCACCCTGACCCTCAGCCCCCTCTTCTAGCCTGGGGGTGGCAGGCACATTCCATCCATGAGGCTGAAGTCCAAACCCCTGGAGCCCCAGGCTCAGCACCCCCAATCTTAGGCAGGGACAGGAAGAGAATTGTCTTCAGCAGGAAAGAACCCGCAGAGAATCAGGAACCCATACAGAATGGGCATTGAGAGAGCGGAAACACCAAGCGATAAATGCCCACCCTGACCCTCAGCCCCCTCTTCTAGCCTGGGGGTGGCAGGCACATTCCATCCATGAGGCTGAAGTCCAAACCACTGGAGCCCCAGGCTCAGCACCCCCAATCTTAGGCAGGGACAGGAAGAGAATTGTCTTCAGCAGGAAAAGAACCCGCAGAGAATCAGGAACCCATACAGAATGGGCATTGAGAGAGCGGAAACACCAAGGGGGTCCCCACCCCAGACCAGGCAACTCTCCATCCCCACCCTCCTTGGGGAGCCAGGTCCCCTTCACCTGGAAGTGAGCCAAGCCACACTGAGGAAATGGAACTTTATTTCCATAAATACAGGGGTAACACCCATTCAAGAGTAGTTAAAAGAGGGGCTGGGGCCTCAAACTAGGCTCCCAGGGGGTACCCCAACACTGATCATAGGGACTGGGGGATCCCCAAACCTGAGATGGGCCTCACAGGCCACAGATATTCCCCAACACTGACACTTCAAGAACGGAACTGTCCCCACAGGGGAGCCTCAGAACCCCACCCCCATGGGTAGTCCCTCTTGGGGGTTGGGAGGGCTGACAACAGGGGAGTTCAGAGAAAAAAAGGAACATGAGAAGAACAGAAGCTAAAAATGTCCTGAGCGGCCTGGAAGGAGACCCCTGTGGTGGGCAGGGGCTGAGTTCTCCTCCTGTAGAGCCAGATACAGAGGAACAGCAGCAGCAGGAGCAGCCACAAGTTAAAAACCTGGTTTCTCATTTCCCAGCCTCAGCCTTGGGAAAAAGAGAGAGCATGGAGCAATCCCCCAAACGAGAGGACATGAGGTAGGGGAGACCAGGACTTGTCATTCACAGAGGAACATAGAAGGAGAGTTCTGGGAGCCCTGGTTGGTGGGGGGCAGTGTGGGAGCAATGAGGTGGTCACAGGCACACCAGAACCTGACATCTGCTTTCCAAGGCCACCACTTGGTCTCTGGGCTAGAGTGTTCCTGGGGACCCCTGAGGATGTCCTCAGGAAAGCCAAGGTTCAATGCAGGTCTCATACAGCGTGCGGTTGGAGTGCCAGGCCGTGTGGGAGATCCCAGCCATTGGACACCTCACTATGGCCCCCCGAGACAAAAGAGTCTTCAACCCAAAAGAATCCCGCAGATAAACCTTCCAGGTGGGCGAAGCGGCACAGAAGCATGGAAGAAAAGACACAAGGAGACAAAGTGAATTACTGCTGGTGTCCTGGGCCCTCTTCCCCTCCCCACAAGGTGAACCCTTCAGCTTGGGGGTCAGTGGCAGGGAGGGCTCCAGAATGAGGTGGGCTCGTGGATGAAGAGAGGGGAAGTAATCCAGAGGACTCACCAGCTGCTCCTCCATCTCCAAGACCGTCTCATTTGCATCGTAGAAACCAAAAAAGCTACAAAGAGATTTGAGGAAGGTTATCAGAAGAGATGGAGAAAACCAAGGTGGGCTGTGGTCCTTCAGGAAATCACACCTGTTGGGGAGACAGGCAGCAGGGAGGACACTCTGGATGTCATGTACCTCATGACGTGATACACTGAGGCTACAGCATCACTTCTATAGAATTCCGGTCAAAAATGCTTAACTTGGATCTAATCACGAGGAAATATCCAACAAATCCAAATGGAGGGATATTCTAGAAAGTAGCAGGTCCATATGCCTCAAAAATATCAATGTCATGGGGTTGGCCAGTTAGCTCAGTTAGTCAGAGCATGGTGCTGATAACACATAGGTCTAGGGTTTGATCCCCATACTGGCCAGCCAGAATAAAAAATAATAAATAAATAAATAATGTCAAGGACAAAGGCTGAGAAACTACTGCACATTAAAAGGAACTAAGGAGACATGACAACTAAATGCAACACATGATACTGGGTTGCATTATGCACTAGACTTTTTTTTTCCTATATGGACAATTGGAACAATGAATAAGAGTACTGTATCAATGTTAATTTCCTGATTTTGATAATTATATTGTATATATGTAAAGATTGTCCTGTTTATAGGAAATACTGTAGTATTTCTAGGGGTAAAGAGACATCAGGTCTACAACCCATT